AAGAATGCCAGCTGCTTCCCCTCCTCTCTACCCACGCAAAGGGAGATCGGAGGAAACCTTGTCCAGGAGCTCCATGGAGCAGGACTTGCGAAGAGGGTCCGTTTCCCAAATCTGGCTGGAGACTTTGGCTTATGGCTTTCTTTCCCCTTCGAGCCAGCAAGTCACTCCGCGTTTTAAGGATCCACCACGGCACTTCAAGGCAAGGCGAGTGTAACTGCTGGCCCGAATCACTGTTGATCAAGCTGCTCCCTGCCAGTTTCGGTTGCCCTTAACAAGCTGCTGCGAGTCTTGGTCACGTTCTGACCTTGACCAAGCATGCAGCACTGATAGCAGGCAAGCAGTCGCTGAAGCGGCTTCTGTACAGTAGAGATAACCCCACTCTCCACCACACACACACACACACACACACACTCTTACTTGTGAGGCTTGTGGAAAATAAACGCTTTCAGGCAGCGTGTGTGGGCCAAGTCACTCTTTCCTGCCGCTGTGAAGCAGGGAGGAAGTGGGGCAGCGTTTCCCCTTTTTCCTCCTGCCCCAGTTAAGGAGGCAGCAGTGGCCCTTCGCCTCTTCCTCGGCTCCTGAGCCAAGAAACGGCCTTTGTGTACGCCTAAAACTCCCACCCGGAGGGGGTCCCACTGGCTCTGGGTTGGCTGTTCATTTTTGGCTGCACCTGCGAGGAAGGGCAGAACGTAAACCTGAGCTCAGAGGTGTCCAACCTTGGCAACTTTTAAGACTTGTGGATTTAAAACTCTCAGATGGCCGAGGAGAAAATTGGCAGCTGAAGCCCACAGGTTGCCAAGCTTGAACAATCCTGCCTTAGCCGGCGTGGAATGTACAAGGATAGGCTTATCATTTTTGCTCCTTATCAGTTACACGAACTGACTTTGGTTGGGCTTATTTCTTTTTTTCTTTTTTTTTTTTGACAGCTTGTTGGTGAAAAGGACACCCCGAAGTGTAGGATACCGGCCTGATTGTAAGTGGCTCTTGTGTAAGCCGGAGTGTAATCCTAGAGGCCCGGGGATTAAGGGAAGGTCGTTGAAACCAGAAATCAGTGGGCTGAAACTAGTCAGCAAAGGGAGGCTCCGGTGGCAAAGGACGGAGCTGGCCTACAATAACAGCTTTTCTGTGCCTTGAAAAATCCAGTTGTTGGCTGTGTGTTTATGGGCAAAACTAAGCCAAAGCAGCTAAGAGTGTAAGCCGGTGCTCGGCCCCCTTCTGTTTAAAAGAGATTTACTCCTTAATGACCACGTTTAGGATTTCAGCTTAGCCACATTGGGGTCAAGCATGATTTTGCAGAGTGTGTGTATTGGCTCTAATTTGGGGGAGGTCTTCCAACTTCCCTCTCCTTTTACACCCGATGGAACTTCAAGGGACGTTAGGAAAATGCCACCTGTTTAATTTGCTGGCTTATGATAACAAACCTGGCTTTATTTTTATTTTTAAAAAAGGTCCGTGCCGTTTTGCTCTTTTTAACGAAGAGCTCCCGTTAATGCCAAGTGGCGCCACCATTGAGATTTATGAACACGGTTGTCCCCAATTCTGCCTAAGTTTAACCTGCTTTATTGTGGTTCTTTCCAGTTGTTGGTTTTGAAGTGCCGGACAAGTTTGTGGTTGGATATGCTCTAGATTATAACGAATACTTCAGAGATTTGAATGTAAGTGATTGACACAGATGACCTGGTTAAAAAAAAAAAAAGGCACAGATTTTTCACCCCTGCCTTTACTCTGCTTCTCTTAGCGCCGGGAAGGGGTCAAAAGGAAGCAGCAGAAACGGATTTCTTTTCTTTTTTTTCCTTGGGGGAAACAAGGTTGGGAATGTCTAGAGTCTTGTGGCGACTCAGAGGGCCCTCAAGCTACCTTTCCCAGCCCAATTCCCAGTTGGATTGTGGCTTCCCACCGTTTGGTACGGAGCAAACTGACCAAGATTGCCAAACACGAGGCGGCTTCTTGGCAAAGCAACGGTCAGAATTCAAAGACTCTGCAGGTGGCCCCAGACTTTAAAAGCCCAATTTGGACGAGGATTCCTTTTGCTAAAGAAAGAGGGGGCTAAGCAAGCAAGGCAGCCAAGCTTGCGGTTGTTAAGTAAAGCACACAGTCATTAAGTGAATCTGGCTCCCCCCCAGTGACTTTGCTTGCCAGAACAGAAGCCATCTGGGAAGGTTGCGATATGGAGATCATGTGTCTCTGGCATGCGGCAACCATACACACCCCCTGGTTGCCCAGTGCCCAAATTTTGACCGCATGACCCGTGAGGACGCTACAACTGTTGTAAGTGTGAGGACCGTCCCAGTGCCATTGTGGCTTCAAACATGATATGGTTGCAAATGGAGGGCCACCCATTCAACCAGGAAGAGCAGGGAGTTTATTTTGAACCCGGCAGCCCTGTGACGTCCCTTGGGGTGGGGGTGAGGTGGGTATTTGCGTCTCCCCTGCCCCAAAAGTTGGCTTTCACGGTGAGAATCAGCAAAAGGCTACCCTCCTCTTCCTCCTTATGAATTTTGGAAGCCTTTGACGCTCCTTGTCTTCCACCAGCACATCTGCGTGATCAGCGAGACCGGGAAGGAGAAATACAAGGCGTGATCCCGGCCGGTGTCATCCAAGCGCAGCGAGACCGTGAAGCTGACCTCTAGCAGCCCCTCTCTCTCTCTGTCTCTCTGCCTCTCGGCCCAAAACGGCAGCTTCGGATTGTGGAGGGGTTCCCTCTGCGCTTCTCTCGTCATAATCTCTCTTGCTTTATAACTTATTGCATGTACCGCATGGGAAACTCGTCTTGTTCATTTGCATCTGGGAAGTCAGAAAAGGAAATTTCCGCTTTCCCTTTTTTTAAAATTTGCACTATGCATCTCCTCCTCCTAGCCAGTCCCTCCTTTGAGAAAAACAGATCTCTCTCTCCCTGTCTCCCTCTCTCTCCTTTCTTCCTTCCTTCCTTCCTTTCTCCTTCCTTCCTTCCTCTTTCTTTCTTTCTTTCTTTCTTTCTTTCTTTCTTTCTTTCTTTCT